CCAAAGCTAGTTTTTATCTGGTTTTCTTAATTAGAATTTTTGGTTCGGTTCTTTGTTTTTTTAATAAAAAATGTTTATTTAATTAAATTTGTAATGTTTTTCTCAAAGTGTCTTTAGTTATATATTTGCGCTTGAGAAAACAACACGGTTTTGTGCTTAAATAAAATTTTAAATTATAAAATATTTTATAAAATATTTAATTTATATATTTATTTATATAAATTAATTTATTTTGAATTTTATTCCATAAAAAAATTTTTTTTAATTTTAAATATGAAAGATTAATGTCAGTGTAATAATTAAAGTTATACTATAAAGAAAAATTTTTTATAATTCATGTAAAAAAATTTACCTCACCGGAGTACTAATTTTGAAAAATATACTATATATGTATATGTTTTATATATAAAATAATAATTATATGTCAATTCTTAAGTGTTAAAAGGAATATTCTAATAATAAACTTCTATAAAGAAATTAATCTGTATAAGAGTATATATTTAAATGTAAGAATCAGCTTAAAATAATATTTACCTTATATAATATACATTTTTCAATTTTGTTCAATGCATTTCAATTATAATTTGTTAGTACAGTTAACAATTGAGTTTAATTAATTAATTAAATTTAAATTTAATTTTTTTTAAATATTTTTTAACAATTCGCTTGCAAAAAAAAAGTATATACAAATGGATGTGAAATATTGCTTTTAGAAATTATAAAAATTAATAAGAAATATTGCTTTCTAAAAATAAAAAAATATGGAAAATTCTTTATTTTAGGGACTCACCAAATAAAAAAAATTGGTTAACAATATTTTAATGTTAATTAAAAATTTATTTATTTATTATAATAAATTATTTTAATTTAATTTATTTATTTATTTAGTTTTTCATTAAAATTTTAAATTTATATAAATTATAGAAGATATAATAATTAATTGTAAATATTGAATTATTAACAATTTTGCCCCGGGTAAAGAAAAGGAAAACAGCTCACTTATATTTTTATCAAGTGAAAATTATTTAATACATTTTTTTATTAATTATTCCATTAATAATTTGTAAAATTTTTAATTAAAATTTTAAGTATTTTTCAAACTAGTACAGAATCATTTCAAAAAAATTTTTTTTTCACAAGTAGTTACAGGAAGCATTTAAAAAAATGGTTCATAAAAGAAAATTCACAGAGGGTCCTTGGGCTATACATTTCTGTCGAGTGTAACGCCTTTCATGATAATTATTTTGGAGGGGAGAAACTAAATATTAAAGAATAAATTAACTATTGTTCTTTTATTTGAAATTCCTGGTTATATTTTATATATATACAAAAAAAAATACATATATATATACATGTTTTAAAAATCCTGGTTATATGTATATGGTTATGAACATGACGTATAACAATGGGTTAAATATTAAAAAATTCAGAACTTACAAATTTATGTGAAATAATTATATAATTTTTAAAAATTGTGATTAAAAAAAATTGATATGTTCAGAATTCTTTTATACAAAGTATATAATGTTAGAAAAAATTATTATACATAAATTTGATTAAAACTTTTAAAGTGCTTTAATATCATAAAAAAATTTTTGTTTAAATTAATATTAAACCATAAAGAAAAATAATTTTAATGTGGTATGAATGTTTAATAGCATATGAAATTTTATAAAAGATATATAATGTTTACCAGATTTTTATTAAAGATATTTTTTGTTTGCTTCGAGTTCTCTGAAATAATCTGCATATCTGTTTGTACTTACTTGTGGCCCCAATCCTCCACAAGTACTCATTAAATTTACTACACATTTGAAGTAAGAAACTACTTCCGGATATCGTACATTATGATACGTAAAATAGTATTATTTATAAATATATATGTATATATGACTACACGTATTACTGATTGGTCTTTACGATTTTTGCGTATCTAGTTATTTTATGCTAAGGAAAATTCTAAACCATAATATATATACTTAAAATATATATATATACTTAATATCTTAAAATATTATTTCAGTTTCATAAACTTTTGATCTAACATAAAGTAATTTAAAAATTTGTCTATTAATGAGAACAGAAGTATTTTAAAAATATTATTATTTTTTTATAAATTTATTATTTTTATATTTTATTTTTATTTTTATAAATTAGAAGTCATAGCATCATAGCAATGTTTTTCCAAATTATTGAAGTACTCACCAAAATAAAATTTTCTTTTTTATTAGATTCTTGCGGTTTTAAGAATTTTGCTAATTTGTTTATCAATTAACGTACTTTAGAAAAAAAAAAATCTCTAAACAGATGTTTAAAATTAGATCTAATTATTACGTTGCTTGAGTTTGTTTAATTAGTAATAAATTTGTCGATAATAATTTATTTATTTATTTTAACTACACTGTTTCCTCCTTGCTCTTAATTTATTCATTTTAAAAATATATTTAAAAATTTTGTTTCTAACTAAAATATGGTTTGTATTTTAAACTTAATTAAAAATAAAATTGTTAAAATATTATATAACTACAAAAGGTATTAGAGCAAGTCAATATAATATGTCAATATAATGTTCTCTTCACTACACGGTAATAGGATTGTTACGATATTTACATATATTTTTAAGTCATCTCTAAATTATTTGATAAAAATAAATTTAGAGATGCATTTATTAAATAATTTTTTTAATAAGATTTAAATATAATTACTTGTATTTAATTTTAATTAATAGAAAGAAGAGTGTGTCTTTTAGTATAGTTTTTTTGATAAACGTTCTGTGTTAGTTCTATATAAAAACTTCCTTTGTTCCGGCTTCTAAATATCTATTTTATATGAGTTATTAAACAAATAATGATTTTAACTATTATATATTATTTAATATATGATATTAGTATCATATTTGTTTGTACAACAATTTAAGTTATACTAAAATTATTTATGTTCTCCCGACAAATTTCTTTGATTCTCAAAGTCACTGTAAGGAATTGGAAATTCAATTTTTTTAGTTTATTTATTTTTTATAATAAATCAAAATAATCAATTTTATAATCAATAATCAATCATTTATCATTTACAAAATTAATTAAGTCAAAACATCCAAAATATCGCACTGTGTATTGAATTAAACTAAAATAAAGTAAACAAACCCTTTCATTCCACTTATGCAAGCAATTAGTGCTCAATTCATGTCAAATATATAGAGTTTTTTTATTGTATGCGGTTTTAGTAATACAATTTAGTAGAAGTATAATTTGAAGTATAACTTGTATAAAGGAATTTCTAGATGAATGAATTTTTACTTAAAAAATTACATTTGCTGATATGTCTACCGTCTACAAATACCAATACCGACTGTTCTAGATTTTGTTCTCGTTACACCGCCAACATTTTTATACTTTCGCTGTAAGCCATATAAAGTTTTCATAGTTTTATATAGCAATATGAAACTTTAACCAACTAAAATAACCTTTGAGGATTGAACGGAGATGATTTCCATCACTGACCCGGAGGACAGTGTGTGAAATTATATTCCAGTATGTCAGTGTGAGACTCTTCAACCCATTAAAATCATCCAGATGTCCGATAGTTTGTGCTCTCGGGATCACTGATTTGGTATTTTGTCAACAGGCTGTCCAGAGCAGAAGTTTATTTTTGTCGTCATTTTGTTAATTGACTACATTTTTTAGTTTATGGGTCATAATTTGTTATTGTTGCAGTTGTGTCAGACCTTAGTGCTTAAAGGTCTAGATTTATCTTAGTCAGAAAACATGGATGTGGTATAAGGGAAAGAAAGGAAGATGTAGGGTGTCGCACATCTCGTTACCAACTCAACCCCTTATAATCAAATATTTCTTAAAACAAACAGAAGTATTAAGAGAACTATAAAAACGTTACTATACAAAATTCACAAAAAATAATATAAAATTATATTACAAAAAAATGTCTACGGACAATCTCTAGATTTAACTTGAGAATACATATTTTTTCTATATATCACAAAACTGCTCTAATATTGTTTTGTTTTTAAATTAATTTAAACCAAATAGGAGTAAATAAAAATAAATAAAAAACTTTCTGATAAATTCATTAAAAATGATCCAATTATATAAAAAGTCTATATAGGAAATTATCTTGTAGTGATCTTAAGTATACTATATATGTACTTTATCCTATTATAGCGAATATATAACGTAAATATTAAACATTTTTATCAAGAGTTGACTTTTTATACTGTCATCTTTTGGATTACATATAGTTATTCTTGAAAGTTTAGAAAAAAGTAATCATTATTCTCACACCAAGCATTGGATTGTGTAAATATTTCATATTTATTATGTGATTAATTGACAAAGATAAACGATGAATTCTCTGGAATATCTAATTTAGTTGTTAACCATGAAAGAAAAGAAGATTTTATTGTAGTTATTAATTAACATATAGTTATTTTCATTGCAGACAATTAAATAAAAAAGTGTTTTTTTAAATAAAAATTTTTAAAGCTCTCTAGCCCTTGATATAAGTATTTAATAAAAATATATATAGTAACAGGTTCTACTAATATTAATTGATAAGACGCTTCTTATATCATCTGCCTTCTGAACAATGGCATTCTGACACCACATAAACATGTAATTTGAATAAAATAATATTAATAATGCATTACAATAACTGCAGTCTTCCTAATGTCTCTTAATATTACATGAAAAATAAATAATTTGCATAAACAAATTAAATTACCAACAATTAAAGATCTTTTTTTTAATTCTTGCAGTTCAACAAAAAAAAATGTTTAAATTATTAACAATTAAATTATTGCTCTACCTTGCGATAAATCAACTAAAAGGCATCGGTAAGCAGTGACTCGTCTTAAGATTTATTTCCATATACTTAAAATCTTTTCAAATTTCGATTTAGATGGACGAGTAGCTATAGTTGTAAGCGAAATAGAACAACCAAGAGATGAAATCAACAATGTTCTTTTCGAAGATCCCATATTTGCACCTAAGCCCAAAGTGAATCCATGTACTTAAAACATTTCAAATATTTAAATTTTTTTAGTACATTATAGTAATTTAATTTATTTCTATTTTTAAGTTTATGAGAAAGAACGAAATGCCTTAATAGCAGAGGAACAGTCCATAAGTTCTGGTGGCAATATGAAGCTCAGTGAAAAGGAGCAACAAGTTAATGATATATTTATGCGTTTAAAGTTGTTAGAACTATCTGAAAATTTTGAAAGGCCCGACCATAATACACCTGGTATGCATTTTTTCAAAGCCAAACCTCTTATAGATCGCAGCAAAGTATTTCAATTTATTAGAGAGATGCCTAAGGGTGCCATACTGCATGTTCATAATACCGCTTCTGTTAGCTCTAATTGGGTTATCAAAAACCTAAGTTATATGGGAGGAATGAAGAAGTGTGTTAATACGAATGGAATTACTATTTTGACATTTCGTGAAAATATGGGGAAACACAAATGTCGAACAAGATACGAAAATTTGGATGTGGAACGACAAAGAATGAATAGTAGTGTACGATATGATAAAGTGTTGGAACAAAAAATTAATTTACATACTGAATCACCGGAATGTAAGTATGTAAATAATGAAATATTTAATTTCTTAAAAAATGTAAATAGAAAAATATTTTAAATATATGTATTATAGGGATAAAATTTGTTAAATTGACTTAAAGGTTAATAGAAATATGTTACACATTATATGAAACATATAAATATATATATAAATAATGTAACATATTAATTTAACTTTGTCAATTTAACAAATTTTAAATTGACTTTAATTTTAATTTTTAAATTTTTTAATTAACAAATTTTTTTTTAAATTTTTATTTTATATATATGGTATATATATATATGGTGGATTTATTCTTTTATATGGTGGATTTAATAATTTTTTAAAAATAAAGATGAAAAATTCTTTAAATGTTTAATTAAAAGGGATATAAATTCAGTTCTAAAACGTTAAATATTATTAATACATATATAAAGATTTATTAGTGAAAAGACGATTCTATATCTTACTACCTAACAGAGATACAAACACTTTATATGATAGAATCTATGATATAATATAAGGTTTAGTGTTAGACTTTAATTTTATAAAATTTACTCTATCTTTATAAAAACTATTTCTTTTTTCAATTAATTTTCAATAATAAAGTAAAGTTTGAAATTCATAATCGTTGAATATTGACCCTTTAGGAGTATTGCATATTTATTCCTAGTATCATTCTTATAGTATTAGTTGATCAGTGATACTATAGAAGTGTTGGGTTTTGATAAGTTTTTGAGCTGGTTGTAGGGTCAGATTGCCATTTATCATTACTCTGTAGGTGAATTTTGGTTTATACCAAAGATACTTAGTATGATACTTAATATGAAGCAAGCTTTTTTCAATTAATTTAAAGCCACTTTCATATTTATTTAAACTCATCGCTTATAGTCGAGTATAATACAGACGAAAAAGTTTGGACGAAGTTTCAAAATATGTTTGACACATTGGGAGATGCAATAAAATTCGAACCCGCTTTTCGAGCATTCCATTGGCGGATGTTGGAAGAGATGTACCAGGATAATATAATGTATGCTGAAATCCGCATGCGTTTTAAAAAGGTATAAAACTAGAGAACTAATAGTGTAGATATTATATTTTAAGTAATTTAAGACTTATGATGCGAATGGAAATGATAAAAAGCCCGATGAAACAATTCAAATTCTAATAAGCATTGTTGAAGACTTCAAAAAATTACATCCTGATTTTCTTGGTATCAAAATTATATACTCGACACATCGTGGTGCGGAAAAAGAAAGTATACGAAATGAATTCGAAGTGTTTAAGCGAATGCAGTAAGTTTATATTAATTATTTTATTTAATTATTATCTATTATATAATTATTAATCTTTTAGTGAAGCGTATCCTCATTTTATTGTTGGTTTTGACTTGGTTGGTCAAGAAGATAAAGGTAAAGCCTTGCATACTTTCTCAACCATTTTACAAGACGTACCGAAAACTGCGAAATTTTTCTTTCATGCTGGGGAAACAAGTGTGTCTGTATATATACTGTTATTAATATCTATTAATAAGTTTTTAATTTACAGATTGGTATGGTAGTTCCATTGATTTGAATTTAGTGGATGCAATTTTATTAAATACCACACGTATTGGTCATGGTTTTGCACTAATTAAACATCCTGTGCTAATGAAGACGGTGAAAGAACGTGGTATTGGTATAGAAGTGACTCCTATCTCAAATCAAGTATTGGATTTAATTTGGGATTTGCGAAACCATCCAGCAGGTTATTTCTTAGCTGATGATATGCCAATAGTTATTTCTAATGACGATCCAGGTTTTTGGAATGCTAAAGGCCTTAGTTATGATTTTTATTATGCAATTATGAGTTTGGCACCTAATTATTCTGGTCTGAAAACTTTAAAGTCTTTAGTTTGGAATTCTTTAAAGTATTCAGCATTAAATGATGTAGAATTAACTGACGCAATTGATATGTTGGAACAATCCTGGGATGAATTTTTAAACCGCGTTTTAATGGGACTTGTTGTTGATCTTTTTTAAAGAATTTATTAACATTATATACTAAATACATTCTTTAACCCACAATATAATTATCTACGTTTTTATTTCCTTATGTCTAATATTTTTTTTTGTCAAAATGCTGTCAGTATTTCTTGTTGTTACTGTGTTCAGAGATTTTTATATATATTTTGCTATATAAATTAAATATGAGAACAAACATCGTAATCTCAATGTGTTCTATTCAAATAGAATATATTAACAAAGTGCTCGAGTATAAATTTTCATGTCTTCTGCACCCTAACTTTTTTAAATTCATGTATTTACCATATATTTAGTTATAATTAATTATTATAAAGGCAGTATCACCATTTCAATTTGATCACATTAAACTCTGTTGTATAGTGACTGTTTTATAGCATATACATTATTTTATGATATTACATAGCCCTTCAAACATTTGCCTTGTTTTGTTTAGTTTTGATCTTCAAATTTGTCTCCAAAGTGTTTTAATTATTGGTGCTTGCATTCATTCCTTTATTGAGTTCTGTTCAAGCTGGGTTATCGTTAGAATGGTTTTTTACTGCGGAAATAAATTTAATAGTTGTAAGCTTTCAAAGTCCATAACATCAATAATCGATAATATCAACTAATTAATATGTAAATTATTGATAGTACTTATATTTATCATCAGTCCATTAGATTGAAAACCTCTTTAGTAGAACCCCATAATTCACATATTATTTCTTCCTTGTTTGAAGTATTGTATCCACATTATTTGACAATTTAGCAAAAGTCCACTCACTAGATCTTCACAATCATTTCGATGAAAGATTTCACTTGCTACTTTTCACAATCACTTCAAAGAATGATTTAACTTACTGGTTTCTCACAATTATTTCGAAGATAGAACTTTGTAGATATATTTTTTGACTTAAATTAGTAAATGTATAGTTCATATTCGTAAAGTAAGTAGTTGATGATATAGTTGATAATTGTAAAATATTTACGATTATAATATTATGATTTGCAAATTATTTATAAATTTTATATATTGAACAATTATGTTATATTAAAATTATTTCATGAACAATGTTCGGTGAAATGAACAAAATTAAGCAGATATTTAAGCGTAACTTAAGTTAGGTTGACGTGGCTGATTTGTGCCTAAGTTAGGTTCTAGTACCACGGTAGCAAGCTTAATATTATTAAAAAAATAATAATATTTCAACTAGATTTTAATATCCTATATAACACTTTATTAAATATAAGAAATTTATATATATTTATATAAAATACACTTTAATTTTCAACTATAGTTAAAAATTATTGACCGAGTATCCACTAGCTTTACGTACATACGTTCATAAGTATATTTTAGTCTATTGCAATGCATGTTTTTTAATGAAGTTCTGACAGCTCTCCGATATTTGGGCGTATGCGCATCTAAAACTTTGTAAGCCAGTCGACTAAAAATATGTATTTTTTAATTTAAATTAATACAAAAATTTTCTTCGACTTACAAAGTAAGGATCATGTATTATTTTATCTTCCTCACGACCAAGATACGAACCTAGCAATTCAATTTTGGTAGTGCATTTGGCACCAGCTGCGATAGCTATAGCATTTAATTCGTGCATATTGCTCTCATCCATTCCAAATATGTAGTCGAATAAATAGAAATCATCAATTTTTATCTATTTTAAAAATATGTTATTAAAACATTTTTAAATATTTTATAAAAAAAAACTTTAAATTTATAGATTAGAACACGCTTAACTCAATATACGGTTCCATTTTGTAAATATTGGAAACAATTGGTTATGCAAGTTATACGGATTTAAAATTTAAGAAAATATGAACATATATATTGTATAATTATAGTTAAATCGGTTCCAATTATATACATAACGTTTTTGTCTTATACGTTACTAAGTATTTCATCACAAAATTTTTGTAGTCAGTTTTTTAAATAAAATTCTACCTCTCGTCCTATATGGGCTGTAGTAAGTCCATTTTCGGATAATATTTTTATACAGCGTTCTTCCGGCGCATAACCAACGTTCCATGCTCTTAAACCGGCACTGTCTGCTTCCCAGTCTAAATTGCGCTCTTTTATGTAATGATTCATAACACTTTCAGCCATTGGTGAGCGACATGTATTTCCTTAAATTATATAAACATATTTCTTATTATTACAATATTAAACGTATTTAATATAATAAACACTCACCAATGCACACGAATAATAATTTCATTTTAGCCCAAGTCGATATTTACTCGTATACCATACTTACCCAACAGATGGTAAAATGACAAATGAATTTTGACAATAATTTTTTTTGATTTATTTTAAATAATCACTCTAACAACTTTGTTAAAATAAATTTTCTGTAACAATAAAATAGTAATTAAATAAAATTAAAGTTTATTAGCAACAGCATCTTTTAGGAAAGCATCACAGGCAATGACACATTGTTGATAGGCCTTTTCAAAACCAGCATCTCCTCTTTGCTACAAAAATAAATATGATTGGCATTTATTTTTATCAATAATTTTTATTTTCTTACATAATATGGGTCTTCAATGATACGATCAGATTTTTCAAGACCAAAATTACCAAGCATAAGTAATTTAGCTTTGGAGCCCGCAGGTGCGCGACTTTCCAAATCGCTCATATTTTCATCATCCATTCCAAAAATGTAATCAAATTCATTAAAATCTTTAGAAGTGATTTGTCGTGCTTTATTTTTATATGGTAGCCCATGCTTTTTCATAGTACTAAGTGCACGCTGATCTGGTGAGTTTCCAACATGCCACCCACCAATTGCCGCACTATCAACCTTCCATTCGTTCGACAGACCGGCTTTGGAAATTGTGTCCACCATAACAGCCTCCGCAATAGGAGAACGGCATATGTTGCCTAATTATAGCATGATTATTAATTGTTGTGATATTTTTTTGTAGTTTGAAATTTACCTAAACATATCATTAATATTTGTTTAACCATTTGTAACTTAAATTATTTGTTGATTATTTTATACTTAATATGACCTTAAGTCAGAAAACTAACTGTCAAACAATATTTTTTTATTTCATTTTCATATGTGACAGGGTTGCATTATGCTTTGTTTAGTGCTTACGTTTGGTATAAACTGTAACTGTTATACATTCGACCACAATTGAGTAATATGCAATATATATAAAACAAATTATTATAAAATATAATTATAAGATACAAATTGTTTTTAATTAAAATTAATTTTTAATTAAAATAAAATTCTCATTCATTTACAGTATTAAATTTCATATGTTGCGTTTTAAATTTATATATATTTAAATAATTATATTAATTCTAGCTGGTTTTTAACTGGTACAATTATCGCAAATGTGCTTTCTTTTAAATTGAATATATCATATAAATTTATAAATAAATTAACTTTTGCCTATAATTCCTACAAAAGAATATTATAATTCAAACGACAATAAATTTACAATTGAATAAGTGTCATTGAAAAGAAAATATCCAGACAAATGGCTATATAATAATATATAATAAATACAGTATAAAATAAAATATAATATGTAACACAATTATTTTAATATAGATACAAATAGTGAACTTATTTATTTTAAATATAAGAGGATACAGGGTGCAACACAAATCTTTATTAGCAATCTTAACTATAAGCCTAATTTAAAAATACTTTTGGAAATAAACTAATTTTATTCTTAGTAAATTTGAAATAAATTAATTTTAAAGTAAATATTTTAATTTACATTAAAATATTCAACAATTTTAAGTTGTTTTTCTTTATATAGGATTATATTTATTGTATTTAAACTGAATTGTTTCTATTTCAACTTCTATAGGATGTCTACATTGTGACCGAAAAGTTTCCGGTCATAAATAAATAAAACGCAAAATTCTTAATCTTCATCAATATTTATTTTATCTCCTCAAAATATGCTCCATAGAAGGACAACAAATGCCACGTTTTTCCAATCATCAAAACTTTTTTTATAGGCGCTTTCCGGTATGGCTTTGAGTTCCCTCTGCGAATTCTGTTTTACGTCTTCTATGGATTCAAAACGCGTTCCTCTGAGTGGTAATTTGAGGTTGGGAAACAGGAAAAAGTCACACGGTGCAAGATCAGGTGAATACGGTGGCTGTTCGATGGTATTTATTGAATGTTTGGCCTTAAAATCGTTGATAATGTTGAACAAATTGAGGTGAATCGGAACAAGCCGGGCGTTGACACGTCGCATACACAAATTGTCCACCAAAATCAAACGAGCCATCTCACGACCGATGCCTAGCTCTCGTGCTATCTCTCTAACACTCACATGAGGATTTTTGAACACGATTTCCTTTGCCTTTTCAATGTTTTCGTCGGTGGTAGAGGTCGAAGGTCGTCCAGAACGCGGCATGTCTTCGACGGTCGTACGACAGTCCTGAAAGGCTTTGTACCACTCATAAACTTGAGTTTTCGATAAAACTGATTCCCCATAAGCCTTTTGTAGCATTCGCAACGATTCTGCACACGAAATTTCGTTCGAAAAACAAAATTTGATGCAAACTCTTTGTTCAATATTTTTTTCCATTGTTTTTTTCGCAACGCACTACTGAGGTGAACTGGTTTCAACAGCTGCCGTAAACGAACTGTCCGACAGTCGCGCTCATTTTTGCATAGTATTAAGGACGTGCTGCCAAATACATAAATTAAAATATCGAAAAATATACAGCGCGCGAATTTTAAATGAGAACCTCCGAAAACCTTTCGGTCACAATGTATATGACTTTTAACTGGAATTAAATTAATATATCTGATTGCTCAATTTTTTTTATTCATCGTACAATAAATCTAGTTAAGAGAGGAATTTCGTAGCTCGACAGGTTATAAAATATTAGTTCTTACTATTCTAATTTAGAATAATTATGCATACCAAGATTTTTAAAAGATTCTTAGTCTAATTAATGTTGACTGGTTGTGTTCTTACTTATTATTATTTCCAAGTTAGTGCATCTGGACACTTTCACTCCATTTAATGCATAAAGAATATGAGAAGAATACTATTACGTGTTCTCAATCATTTTACTCATCTTTCCTAGAACCCTTGAAATCAAAATAATTCTTTATTTCATTAAGGATGACAGATTTGTTTTTTTTTACTTCTAATTACTAGCTTATTACTAGGTATTTGGCCAAATAAATAAGGAATATGAAAATAATACTATTATTTGGTCTGTTTTCTTACATAATATGGGTCTTCAATGATACGATCAGATTTATCAAGATCACAATTACCAAGCATAAGTAATTTAGTTTTGGAGGATTCTTAATTTCAATAAGGATGACAGATTTGCTTTCTTTTACTTCTACTTACTAGTTTTTTTTTAAATTAGGTATATGATAATAATACTGTTATCTGTATTTTCAATCTTTCTACTAAATTACCCCAGAATTCTCGAAATCAAAACGATTCTTAATTTCATTAAGGTTGATAGATTTCCTTTCTTTTATTACTTGATAGTGATTCTTAATTTTATTGAGGTTGAAAGCTTTTCTTTATTTCGCTTTTAGGAAAGAAAGAATAAACAATACAAATTTTTTAAGATCTTCTTGGGTCTAAACTACTTGAGAACCATGGATACACTTTATTCTATTTCATTTGTCTATTTAGTTGGTAGAGAATATATAATTATTATTCTTTCCTTTTGTGGTGTATTTATAATGTATTTATCATTATTAATGCAATGTATTTGTGTATTATGCTTTGGGTAAAGAAACCGCTCTTAGTAAGGGCATAGGGTGGAAGTAGAGAATATAAGGAGATTGTTATTACATCTCATATATATAAAAAAGTTATTATTTCTCTTTAAGTAACTAGCAGTCCATAGTTTATATTAAAAATGCATTTATTACATTTAAAAAAATTGAAAAAAAAGACCACATGAATATTTTTCTCTTCCTAAGCAATATGTCCTTTAATGTCATGCAATTCTTAAATGTCATCGCAGCGAAAAGTGCCAAAGACTCATCATTAAAAAATTTTTGTACTACAAAAGACAATAGCACACCTTTAATTTGTGAAGTGCAAAAGAGCAATCACAAATATTTGCACCGGCAAGCCTTTGCTCTGACGTCCTCAACAGAAACGTATGCATCCACTGAACCGTGCAGTACCAGTACCAGTACCAGTCCCAGTGCCAGTGCAAGTGGCAATGCGAATGCCAGTGCCTGATCCAATACCAATACCAATGGCAATTGCAATTGTTTGTCTTGCACTTATCGTCTCTTTGTAGTGCTTGTATCTTTTGTTGGCAAAAGTTTTTATCTGTACTTCACTTCGTTGCCTTCACTTTCATTAAAACTGATTTGAACTTGTTTGTTTACGTTTGTTTAGCAAACCTGGCACTGAACACACTAGATTTGTCCTTAGCGGTGCTCCGTTGTCGAAATCTGTAGCTAAGAAATGTGGAATTAAAAAATTCTTCGCCAAGGAAAATATGCTTGAGTGGGAGAGGAGAAAACAATGAAGATTTTGAGAATTTTATACGCAACTGAAAATTTTCAAAAGTATTGTATCTTCAATTTTCTGCCAACTGAATTTGAGGGTTCACTTCAAAACGACATAAGATAAATTTCTAAGAATTCTGTCTGATGTGAGGGTAAGTTTGCTATACTAGACGGAGGGCGTTACTATAGCTTTGAAGTTGTGAAATTTTAATAATAAAGTAGTTTTTATTATTATTAGTTTATTAAGTTCAGTATGATTCTACGGAAACAAAGTTTAAGGTCAGGCAATTTGTAGTTCCCTTGTGGACATTAATTAAACACGCGAATTGGTTTTTAAATGAATGGATTTTTATAGAAATTTATTAAAATGATATTTATTCAATTCAACGAAAAACACTTTGTTAATATCCATTTTATATTCTCAAACTATTGTCCATTATTTTGTGTAAGTATATATACAAAATATATGCTTATACATATACATATATAAGTATATATGTCTGAATTCCGCCGTCTGACATGTTAAAATTGTCAATCAAGTTTTATAAAAGCCCCTAATAATGTCCTTTTCATGTGCAATTTCAGTTTTTGATAATTAATTAATGAAAGTACCATTAAATTTTGTAATGCAGTTGAAAATCCTTTTGTGTCAATATTTTCGAATGAGATTTACATACAAATTTTCCATTTTAATTACGTTAACCTTTATGACAACAGGAATAAACGCAGATTCAGCCATTCCTACCCGCTATAGGACCTCTTGCATGACGTTGTGAATCGGAGTTGCGCACTTTAATACAACTTCAGCTGTCATAATAAAAACGTACCTGTATTCATTGTCCTCGCTATCCTTCTGCGGACAATAATTGCTTCCAACTGATATGATAAACTTTTCCATTTATTTTTATTTCCTTACGTTTTCCATATGCAAAAAATGCCAAGTTGAGTTTTTTTTTAATGAGTTTTACAAGTTGCGGAGTTGAAATCTGTGAAAAACCACAGTGCGAGGTGGAGTTCACGTGGATTACCGGGTATAAAATAATTACAGTGGCCAAAGAGACCACATAGTATAAGTTATGACTATGGAACGTAGTACGTTGAATGCGAAAAGCAGAATAAGGAAAACTTTATAAAATGAGGTTTAAATTTTTAATGGAAAATTCGAATTGCATTTTTGTTGAGATAAAATTTAAATATTTGAGATATTTTTTCATTTACTATACATAATTTGAAACCATAGTGACCACTGAATTGGAAATTTTCATAGGCGCGCATGGACTGCAACATTTTAAATTTCTTTAATGGATTACTTTTGCAGATATCCAAGACCTCATGGAACTCGTGGAAATTCTTGAAAATGATAATGTTAATTTTTAAATTTTGATGAAAGCTGTAAAAAATTATTTTCACAAAATGCAGAGCTCCTTTTGTTAGTAGTGAATATTTTTTGCAAGAAGCTGTTAAAAATTCAATTTAAAAATGCAAATTTACTTTTAACAGTAGTGAATAGACTATAAGTTAGAAACGAATCCTCCTCGAAACGAA